TTGTTGTTTCTAAAAATGCGAGCAAACAACTGGGCCTCAACGTTGTCCATCTTAGCGGGTGGAGCTGGAGGCTTCTCTTGAATCTTCTTCGTAACTCTGTTCAGTGTTTGGCCGTTGGGTTTCACCTTCGTTTTTGTCAACGCCACAGCAAGCATCTTCTGCTTTTCTTTGCCCGCTTTGAGCTCGTTAGCCACTTTATTCAGATCAGGTATTTTCACGCGCTCTTCGTTTTCTGCTAGCTGCGATGCCAACTCATCCTCTCCCTCGTGGAAGGCTCGAAGAAGTCTTTTTCGCGATGCCTCAGTGGACACCTCACCAGGAGCCCAGAAATCGTGTCCGGTCCTCAAAAGCAGCTCTGCCTGGTTGGATTCTGCAGAAATTGGATCGCTAGCTAGGACTAACGCTGCAACAACCACGTAGTGCAAACATTTATTGAGCATGATACGACGAGCGGGCAGTGTGCGCTCTTCCTGGAATGAAAAGCTCCGCTTTATTACCGGTAACAGTAAAACCATCGTAAATTTCCCGCCCCCTAAACTTGTAGCGTGTCCGTCCGTCTGTCAATAAGTCCGTCCGGTTCCTTTCTTGCTGCGTTTTCCTGCCTTTTCGCATGGCTACACCCGGCCTTTCCAATAGAGTTTCCTCCCATCTTTCCGACCGCGCCTACCTTTCTGACTCGACTTAACTATGCCAAAATTACAAATATATCCAAAAGCGTGACGCAATTTACTCGCGCCCTGACTGGGCAATACCTGCCGACGTGCGACACTGACTGGATCTGTCGCACGATCAGACCGCCTCTCGCCCTCGCGAAATGGACGTAAGGTAAACATTTCTGCCAAGCACGAAAACGCATCGATTGGCTGCAAACAGCCAGGCGAGCTGTGCAGATACTTGATTATTGCGCAAAACCTGTCGTATGTACTGCAAATCGGGCACACTAACCACTTTATTTTCTAAGAGCTCTGCACACTTCTCAAATAGAGATATTTATCATTATTAATGTAGACTTCACAGACCAGTATTTGGTAAGAGCTCAGGGATGTTATTTTTCACGCACTTTTTAAAATAAAGACGATATGAATAGTAGTAATATTACTAATATAAGCTTAACAGGCCGCAATCGTAAGAGCTATTTTCCACAGACTTTCTAAAGTAGAGACGATAGTATTTTTTAATATTTAAGTAGGCTTCACGACCAGCGCTTTTTATAGGGACTTTGCGAATATATATATATTTTTACGTCACCTGGCACTCACCACTGCCACCGTGCAATGAAGGCGCGCGGCTGCACGGTCATTGCGCTATCTGCTCCCGTGCACCGCACCCGACGGATGCATGCGCGCACGATACATAGTCTTTTAGTTCACTTTTATTGCATGTAAAGTATGTATTTGTTTGGAAATCTGATAATAATATATTAAAGATAAGCCAAATATTAATAATATAAAACATTTTACTATTTTGCTTAATAATAAATATCAGCCTTTTATTACCGTGCTATTGGCTCATATTTGGACAAAAGTAATTGGTTAAAACAAAATATTTTGCTAACATACTCACAGTTTGCAAGATGGTGGGCCCTACGTGCAAGCAATGCGAGGCGAAGATTGACCCGCTTCTGCTGAACCCGCAGCGGTCTACGACGGATGCACGGGCGCGCTGCGTCGGCTGCGGGAAGCTGCAGTACGGTTACGCACTCCGTACAATCAGCGGGCGGGACATCGTGCGGCGCTGTATTGCCTGCGAGAACGGCCCAAAAGCGGTTGAGTTCTGGGAGGAAAAGCCCCCACCACCTGATTCGGCCGATGTGCGCCGCCAGGAAAGCCTGGCAAACGTCAAGAAGGTGATGGGCCCTGACTGGTACCCCAAGAGTAAATAAAGAAACAGCCACCCTCGCAAGCTGACCGCCCGAAACGCCAAGTACATCGAGCAAAAGAAGCAGCAGAAGAGCAAGTAATGGTAAATATACCCTTTTAGGCCCCCATTTTCCTACCTATATTCGTATTTAGTATACTGGTTGACGGTACGAGGCTTGGGGCCGCACAAACGGTAAACTGACTATGGCGCTGCCAAATAGTGTTGACGCACCTACAGAGGGTAGCGCGTTTCAAATAATAATTAGCGCATGGTGTCTACTGCATACCCTTTGCAAGCTGACCGTCCCTATCTGCTTCCGCGTAACAATAGATCGAGAGTACACTCGCTCACTTGGATACATGCAAACCATGCTATCTGTGACATCAGCGCTCACAGCGTATGTTCCATTAATGTGCGCTCACAAATTGAAACTACAGCATCGAGTGAGCACTACACGCGACGACTAAGTTGCTGTCTACATAGATACGAGCACGTGTGCGGTAGTGCAAACAATACCGGTGGGTGTGGAAGTCGAACTGTCTGTACGCAGTACTATACTTTAGTGCCCTGTCCATAATGGTCGAGATAAGAGCTCAGTTCAGTCGCGGGTAGCTATAAGGTGTACCCGCCGCGCGCGTAGATACTGCGTGTAATACAGGTGACAGACGCGCGGTCAGCTTGCCAGTATCGCTGCAGTATGGTCTGTGCCCAGTTAGTGACCTGCTTGGTCATATAAACGGATATAAACGGATACATCCGAAGCGTAAGCACAGTAAGCCAGCACGACGACGCAAAATGTACCGAGAAAGCGACAGTGATCCTATACATAGGTTTTAGATATCACGAGCGCGTGGTATACACACTCATTAACGACCTCGCAATATATGCACGGATACATCAAATAGCACGCCGAGTTGATAAGTAGGCATCAAACGTACTTCATATAATGTACATGAGCGACGATTCGAACCAAGTCGAAGATATCTACGATCTGATAATCTGCCTACACTTATGTGGCTTCGTATGTTCGTCATACGTATCGGAGCCAGTAAATGTCTCTCGAAAGGGTCTACGCCACTCTATCAGTCAGAATCTATACAAATAAGTCAGTATGTGCGGCAGCTATGCAAGTAGAATCAATGCATGCAATACAAAGTGGAAACACCCTTCAGTAATATCATAAAGAGCTCAGCAGAACAATTGCAACGCATAACATTGGTGTTTGTCGCGACTATCGGCAAAATCTACCTGTCCTAAAAGATACTTCGCGCAAGAAGCTGACTAAACCTTTCTCTAATAGACCGTCGCAATCAATGATATGGTGTCGACTGCCTCACGGCGATGACGTGGCAGATGATATTATGTTTGAGTAGACGTATTTACTCCAGCTAAACTGGGATTCCTCACCGGTCGATGCCAATGTGGATCATCACTGACGGACGCCTCCGATTCGTGTCATTTTGGGGGCTATGCGCTCAAATGCGATTATAGACAAAACCTTCACGGGTAAGATGGTGCTCATCTTGCAGATCACGTTAAACCCTGGTCATATCTATCATAACATGTGAGCACTAAATATACTGTGTGCGGTGTTGTTTTGGAGCGTAATATAAGTAGAACACAGTATACATGTACTATATGTTGCTTGCTGCACGTAGAAAC